GCCATGGGATGATGCGGCAGTAGAGCCCTGGTTGACGACTTCCTCCGGCCCGGGCTTCGCCAAAACCTTAAGAAGAAAACGCACCCTTCCTCCTCGCAGAAGAACCCCAGCCTGAGGGACTGCCCAGAGAACTGGCCGACTTCCTGCGGGAGTCGTTAATCAGAAGCACCAGGAGCACCCACACTGGGCTCCGGGAACTTGCAAATTGTGCCCGGGTGGAGCGGGAGCTCCGGGCGTGCACGCGTTTCTGCTGCCCTCACACTTCTGCTGAAACGCATCACTCGCGGGGTGACACTTTCATTATCTGCGGCTTGGAGCCTTGGAGAGCCAGGCGGCCGGACTGGTCTCCGCTCGCTTGTTCATTAGTTTTAATTAGACGCTCTGATTTTATTTGTGCTGCCACAAACTGATTAACAGCCTGGCAGCACACAGCACACTCATCTTGCAAAGGGCTGCGAGGGGGTTGGTGGGTGTCTTTAAGCGTGACCCTCACAGAAGCGAGGTGGGGGCAGTGGGCAGGATTTCCTGCCGGGTAGAAGGAGGCAACGGTTTGGAACCTGGCTGCTGTGTGCAACTGTGGGACACTGAGCTCAGGGGCGCCAAGGACTAGTGCATGCAATGATGATATTTCTTTCCTTTAAAAAAATATTTATTTTTATTAGAAAGGCAGCTTTACAGAGAGAAGGAGAAACAGAGAAAAATGTTCCATCTGCTGATTCAATCCCCAAGTATTCACAATGGCCAGTGCTGGGCCAATCTGAAGCCAGGAGTCAGGAGCTTCTTCCAGGTCTCCCACGTGGGTGCAGGGTCCCAAGGCTTTGGGCCGTCCTCCTCTGATTTCCCAGGTCACAAGCAGGGAGCTGGATGGGAAGTGGAGCAGCTGGGGTATCAACTGGTATCCATATGGGATCCTGGTGCTTGTAAGGGGAGGATTAGCCAATTGAGTCATCATGCTGGGCCTGTGACTGCATTTCTTTATCTGAAGTCATGGGAGAGGGAACAGGGCTGGACATGAGACCACACACATCACTCTGGGTCCCCAGAGGGCCAAGAGACGAAGGTCCTCAATTAGTGAGCGACAAGGACATGGCACCAGTTAGTTACCAGTCTGGATTGTTCTGTAAAGTACTGAACAGGCAGCCAGGAAGTCTCCAGACAGCCTGAGGGGTGGATATGAGAAAGCTTAAATACATGCTGGAACTCGGAGGGGGGCATTGTGGCATTGTGGGTTAAGCCAACATATGGGTTGCTGGAGTACCATATAAGAATGCTGGTTCAAGTCTTGGCTGCCCCACTTCCAATCCAGCTTCCTGCTAATGTGCATGGGAGGGCAGCAGAAGATGGCCCATGTGCTTGGGCCCCTGCTACCCACATGAGAAATCTGGATGCAAGGTCTGAATGACTGGGCTAACCCTGACTGTTGTAGCTACATAAAGACTGACCCAGTGGAAGGAAGATGCCTCCCTCTTTTTTAAATAAATAAACATATATTTTTTTAAATTCTGGAGTTTGAGTTAAACTATGGAGGACTCATTGGCTATCAGCAGACTGACAACTTGAAGGGTGGGACATGAGCCAGGACTCAAACCTTTATCCCGCTACTGGGTGACCACCAGGCACGTGCAAGAGGGGAAAACTTGAAGCAGAGATTGTAACAGACCAAACCCAGCAGCCTGAATCTGGTAATGCACAAATGTGACTCCTCTCCCCTTTCCAGAACCACTACCACCAATTTCACCTTTTTAGATCTTTTCCAGAAAAGTAGGGAGGACAGAAAACCAGGACTCCCCTCCCCCAGATGCTAACCTAGATCCCACCTGCTAAGTCTGTCCGGTGCTCTGACATGGCGTGAAAGTTCTTGGCCCTCCCAGGCCAACCTCCAGCTTCCCTGGGTGACGCGATCCCTGCCTGGGAGATGGGGGGACGGCCACGTGGCCTGTGCTCTCTGCCCCAGGTCCTCTCTCTCCTCCTCTTCCTTGTCCATTTGATGGTCTGGTGTGTGTGCCCACGCGTGGACCGCTCGCTGTGAGTAGGAACAGCAGAGAGAGGCTCTCTGTTTGCTGGCTTGTTGCTGCATCTCCTTTGCCTGAGGTCGGTGACATCTTTGGAGACCTGCAAGTCTACACCTGCACGTGTGACAGCATGGGGACTTCCCAGAAACACCTCCCCCCACCCCGCCCAATACCTGTGTGTCAATGGTAGGTCTTCTCCTGAACCCTGGGCCTAGAATGAAAGTATCTGGCTGTCTTTCACATGCTTGGTCTTGACCCTGGCCTTGACAGCTTTCCGTGTCACTGATCAGCTAGCTGTTGCTTGCCGCTGAACAGGAACTTCCCAAACACGCCTCAATAATGACCAATATTTGTTAGCCACACAAGTTTGAGTCAGCTAGGAATTTCTGGCTAAACTAAAGGTTCAGCTCTGGCTGGCCGGTCTAGGATGGTCTCGGAGATGATTTTTTTTTTTTATAATGATTCATTTTATTTTATCTGAAAGTGTTACCGGGACAGAGAAATTTTCAAACCATTGGTTCGCTCCCCAGATGGCTGCATTGGCCAGGGAGAACACAGGCTGAAGGCAGGAGCATCCAGGGCTCCTGTGTGGGTGGCAGGAGGCAGAGTCACTTAAGCCTTGGGACCCGCACCTGCGTGGGAAACTGGACGAAGCTCCTGGCTCCTCGCTTCAGATCAACTCAGCTCTGGCCATTTTCTCACTTTCTCACTTTCACATTCGCTGGTGTGGGCCTGGTGCAGTACCTAGCGGCTAAATCCTTGTTTTGCATACACCAGGATCCTATATGGACCCTGGTTCATATCCCAGATGTTTCTTTTTTCTTTTAAAAAGATTTATTTATTTATTTTTTATTGGAATGGCTGATGTACAGAGAGGAGGAGAAACAGAAAGGAAAATCTTCCATTCGATGGTTCACTCCCCAAGCAGCCACAATGGCTGAACCTGAGCTGATCTGAAGCCAGGAGTCAGAAGCCTCTTCCTGGTTTCCCACAGAGGTGCAGGGTCCCAAGGCTTTGGGCCATCCTCCACTGCTTTCCCAGGTCACAAGCAGGGAGCTGGATGGGAAGTGAAGCTGCTGGGATTAGAACTGGCGCCCATATGGGATCCCGGGCGTGTAAGGCAAGGATTTTAACCACTATGCTATCGTGCTGGGCCCTATCCTAGATGTTTCACTTCCCATCCAGCTCCCTGCTTGTGGCCTGCGAAAGCAGTTGAGGGCAGCCCAAAGCCTTGGGACCTTGCACTGCGTGGGAGATCTGGAAGAGGATCCAGGCTCCTGGCTTTAGATTGGTTCAGCTCCAGCCATTGAGGCTGCTTGGGAAAGAATCAATCTGTCTTTCTAATAAAAACAAATAAATCCTTAAGAAGAGAAAAAAAAAAAACCATAGTAAATTCAAATGGCCAATAGACATATGAAAAAATGCTCAGGTTCCCTGGCTATCAGGGAAATACAAATGAAAACCTGAAAACCACACCTAAAAACAAAAAACAAACAAACAACACCACACTTAATTCCAATGAGACTAACCTACATTCAGAACTCCACTAACAACACCTGCTGGTGTGAATGGGAGGAGAAGGTACCCACTGCTGGCGAGAATTCAGGCTAGTACAAACGCCATGCCAGTCAGTTCAAGACTGCCAAGAGAACTGAAAATTGACCCGCTGCATGACCCAGCTATCCCACTTCTGGGAATATATCAGATGACATGAAGTCTGCAGATGAGAAAGCGATCTGCCAGCCTACGTTTACAGCAGCACAGTCTACAATAGCAAAGCCAAGGGAACGACCCAGATGCTGCTACAAGAGGAGTGGGTAAAGAAACTGTGGTACATCTACTCCGTGGAATACTACTCAGCCATGAACAAGAATGAAATTCTACCATTTGCAACCAAATGGTCCCAACGAGAGACCATCATGCTCAGTGAAATAAGACAATCCCAAAAGGACAAACATATATTTTTTTCTGACATAAAGCAATCTTCATGAAAAATATCAACAGCCTTTTCAATACTGTTTTTTGCTCCATCTCCTGGGTTTTTATATTTTTATTTTTATTTTTCATTCCTTCAAAAATTTTTTCTTATTTTTTTTTCACTGAATCATAGGTCATACAATAGCATTCTTTGCTTTAAGATTTTTGACTTTTTTTTTTCATTTCTTCAGTGACACAGTGGTCATTCAATACTTCAACTTCATGTTGTTGTAAATTTCCCATTTTTCTTCCTGTTGTTCATGTTTTTGTTTTGTGGCTTTTCACTGACAGAGATGTAAGTAACTGTGTGATGGAGAATACCACCCAGATGTGAAGATGCAATGCAGTGTACGTCTCTACTTCCTAGTCAAAACCGTTACATATATCTTTTTAAAAGATTTATTTTTGTTGCAAAGTCAGATACACAGAGTTGAGGCAGACAGGAAGATCTTCAGCTGATGATTCACTCCCCAAGTGACCACACGGCTGGTGCTGCACTGATCCGAAGCCAGGAGCCAGGAGTCTCTTCCAGGTCTCCCATGCCGATGCAGGGTCTCAAGGCTCTGGGCCGTCCTCGACTGCTTTCCCAGGCCACAAGCAGGGAGCTGGATGGGGAGTGGAGCTGCCAGGATTAGAACCGGCGCCCATATGGGAGGTTGGTGCGTGCAAGGCGAGGACTTTAGCCTCTAGGCTATTATGCTGGATCCATCTTTATTTTTTAAACCACGTACCAATTGCCTTAGGCACAGTCTCTTCGATAACAGGCCAAAGGACTAACATTCCACTTTTATAAAGCGCCACGTTTTCATGCTGGATGACCAAAGCAGGCCGAAGGTCGGGGGTCACGGCCCTGTCGTCCCACGTGTCCACGTGTCACATGACCTCGCCCGCGCTGCTACACGCCCCGGGCACGCTGCGCATGCGCCGTCGGCCTCGCGCAGCTCTGGGGGCGGGGCTGGGGCGCGCCCAGCACGCATGCGCCTGCCGGGGCCGGTTGTTCTAAGAAGCGGGTTGCGGCGCGCCGGCTTGCCGGCGAGCGGGGCGTGCGTGGCGGCTTCCGGAGTGGTCAGCCGCGCGGCCGGCCTGTGGGTGAGTGAGCGGCCACCGGGCTGAACGTCCGGCTGGGGTCCGAAAATGGCGCTGCGAGGCCGGGGGCCGCTGCTGAGGCCGGCGGCGCGCCCGGAAGTGACGCGGCGGCGCGCGCCCCCCTGTGGGCTAGGGGGCTGATGTCGGGGAACGCTGGCTCGGTCGCGGGGGTCGCTCGGCAAGGCAGGACGTGCCCGACGCTGGGTCAGGCCGGCCGCACCGCCGCCCCGGGCTCACCATGGCATCACTTCCGTCCCTGACCTCATTAAGCAGGTGCCAGCTCTCCCCCTACTCCTGGGTGCCCTCATTGCCAGCGGTCAGTAGGAAAAGGGGTTCCCCAGCTTCTGGCATCACTTCTTTCCCTGACCCCATTAAGCAGGTGCCAGCTCGCCCCCCACTCCTGGGTGCCCTCATTGCCAGCAGGCAGTAGGAAAGGGGTTCCCCAGCTTCTGGCATCACCTCCTTCCCTGACCCCATTAACCAGGTGCCAGCTCGCCCCCCACTCCTGGGTGCCCTCATTGCCAGCAGGCAGTAGGAAAGGGGTTCCCCAGGAGGTGCCAGCTCGCCCCCCACTTCTGGGTCTCCTCGTTGCCAGCGGTCAGTAGGAAAAGGGGTTCCCCATTCCACTGGCCCCATTGAGTTAGGCTGGCCGCACCCCTGCCTTGGGCTGACCACGTTGCCCTACAGGGCATCAGGAAGCAAGTGCATAATTAGGGCTTTCCAGCCACTCCTTCCCTGACCCCATTAACCAGGTGGCAGCTCGCAACCCCTCTCTCCCCCTCCTCTCATTCCCAGCATTGCAGGGAGAGGCACCCCCTCTTCGCCCCCTCCCCGCTGACTCCGCCTCGTGATGCATTAAGATCTGGCACAGTGAATAGGGTTGTCGCGGGCATTTTAAACTCAGCATTTCTCACTGTCTTTCGTTTTTCTCCACAACACCCTCAGGCCCCGGGCCCCAGGGCTGTACAAGCTGGTGGCACCTGCAGGTGCTAGCTGGCCTGTCCCCAGGCTCGGGCCTGTGAGCGCTCACCGCTGCCCCACCGCTCTGTGCATTGACATCTATGGTGTTTTTTTTTTTTTTTTAAGATTTATTTATTTTTATTACAAAGTCAGATACACGGAGAGGAGGAGAGACAGAGAGGAAGATTCTCCGTCCGATGATTCACTCTCCAAGTGACTACAATGGCCGGTGCTGCGCTGATCCGAAGCCAGGAACCAGGAACCTCTTCCGTGTCTCCCATGTGTGTGCAGGGTCCCAAAACGTTGGGCCGTCCTCCACTGCTTTCCCAGGCCACAAGCAGGGAGCTGGATGGGAAGTGGAGCTGCTGGGATTAGAACCGGTGCCCATATGGGATCCCGGTGCGTTCAAGGCAAGGACTTTAGCCACCAGGCCACCGCGCCGGGCCTGATATCTACAGTTATTAAGCAAACAAAAAGGCCCTGGTTCCGCAGGAGGCTTTGTGGGGGACAGGAACTAGTTAAGCTGGTACATTCTGGTAGGTGGCCAGGTGTAATGAGCGCTCCTTGTTGCTTGGGCACTTTCCCTTCTGAGATTCTAGGTGGACTTTCCCCTGAGAGCCTTCCCACGGCCAGCTCGACCCAGAGACTTGGTTTCTGGCCAGAGGCTGAGAGTAGCGGCGTCCCCACCTCTTTGCCCCATTTTTGGTCCCCTTTTGCCTTTTTGACTTCTGGATGTTTGAATGTCCAGCTTGGACCCTGAGTGAGTTCCTGAACTGTTCCTCTCTTCAGCATCCTTAACCCCAACTTCTGTTCTCCCACTTCAGCATATCACTGAGGGAAGAGGTTGTCTGGCTCCGGATGGTAGTGGCACTCGGCGGCTTTGGGAGGCCAGCTTGCCCAGCTCCTGCCTCCTGGACGTGGCACAGTTGCTCCTCAGCCCCCTTTTCCTCTTCAGCAGGACCTGTGTCCCATACTTTTCCCGGGGTTGCCCACTACCACGCGGCAGGCTACACTTCCTCCCTGGTGGGCCGTTTCCTCCGTGGTCCTCCTCAGCCTCCTCTGTGCACGGCTGCATGTTCAGGCGCGTGAAGGGCTCAGCCCTCCCGGAATGACTGCTTCCCTGGAGCTTCTTAGACTGATAACCTGACGTCCTTACCTGAACTTGCAGCAGCCTTTCTGTGGTCGCAGCAGCTGGAGCTGTTGCCCATCTGAAGCCAGGAGTACCCCTCCTGGCCTCCCACTTCTGGGCGCAGGGCCCCAGGGCTTTTGGGCCGTTCTCCACTGCTTTTCCAGGGCACGAGCAGGGAGCTGGATGGGAAGTGGAACAGCCAGGACACAGACCGGCACCCACATGGGATCTCGGCACATACAAGACGCGGATTTAGTCACTAGGCTATATAGTGCAGGGCCCTGAGCTACAACATCCTTTTTCACTTTTCCCTCTTTCTCCCTCAGTTTTCCCTATTTTTTTTTTAACCCCTTGTGTTTGAACATCAATACTATGACTTCATCATTTGGGTTGGATTAACTTTTTTTTTTTTTTTTTACTTAAATACAGTTAAGAACTGTGGGAACAGGATTGCTGGATTCAGTTAGTATACAGGCTCAGAGCTGGAAACGTCAGCAGTGAGCTGAAGATTTTGTCCTGAAACCCATCAGAAGGCCCCTCCGACCCTTGCGCAGTGGTCCCTGGGCCCTGTCCCAGCTGCTGACTCTGCAGCGGGTCCCTCCCCCAAGCTCACATTTGCTTTCTGCAGCGCACCGCTGCACACAGCACCTGCAGCTCTCTGCCGCCCCTCCCTGCTTCCTTTCCTGAGGCTGTTTGGCAGCCAAGTTCACTGGCGATGGAGATGGCCAGACTGGACTTGTTCGTCCCCAGGCTGCTCTCTGGACCATGCTTCCGTGCAGCGTGGGGTGCTGGGCAGCCCCTATGTGTCGGCCAGGGCCAGATGCACAGCACAGCTCTTGCGTGGTGCTGTTTGCTGGGCTCCCCAGCGCCCCCACTCTGTGCTCACACAGCACCTGGTCCTTGTCCCTGCTGCTCAATCACGTTCGGCAGAAGAGGGTGGACCCCCCGGGCTTACTGGTGCTCAGTCCGTGTCCCCTCTGCACCCAGAGCTTGGCAGCCAGGATTGTTCACTGAGAAATGCCATGACGGACAGCACTTGTGGTCCTTCCATGGAAATCAAGTTCCAGCTCTGAAAGAAACCCGTGTTTATTCACAGTGAAATACAGAGCAAGGCTGTCTCTTGGCTGTCATCACGCTTATGAATGCATTTGCTAGATGCTGTGGTTATAGGTTATATAGACAATTATGGGACAGCCTGTCCTTTACACAGTTTGCGGGCACATGGAATAAGGTGGGCGCTCCCTGCTCCCTTCTGTCGCCCCTCGCCCTTGCACGGTTCTCGTGGCTCTGTGCAGGTCTGTGTGTGTGTGTCCTGCAGAGATCCGGGTACGTGCTGCTTACAACACGAGCGTGAATGCATTCTCGCTTTGTAGTGTTTTTTCCTTTAGCATGACCACAGGAAGTACTTGTGGGTGGAATTGCTGGCTGCAGGTTTTCCCCAGTCAGCAGGGGAGGGAGGGTCCTCGTCCTGGTGCCCCTGACAGCCTTGAGCTTTCCCTTCTTGACAGCCCTCGAGAGCCGCGATACTGTTCTTCTCCATGCTGCTGTCTGGACCGTGCTTCCGTGCAACGTGGGGTGCTGGGCAGCCCCTGTCTGAGGTTGGGTTGGTTCAGGGCTCCCGTTCGCTGCATAGATGGTTCAGCTTAGAGGTTTTTAGGTTTGGCTTCAAGTGCAAGTGTTCTCCTTCCCATGCCGACTGAGTACATTGCAGTCCACCAGAAGGATGCCGACTGGGAAGATGACAACCACGAGGTGTGGGCTCTCGTGGGGTTGGCACATGGTCGCTATGCAGGTTTTTGACATGACTGAGCCAGTTGCCCTAATGCCCTTTGTTGATGAAACTATGTCTCCCATTCTTCGTTTGACTCATTTTTATCTTCTTTATTCTCAGAACCCAAGAGTATGCGTACTTTGTGTCTTTTTAAGAAATGCATGCTTGGGAACTTGAATTCATGTCAATTGGAAAGTTACACGTGATCTTTCGAGACTCATTGTGCTTTAACGTGAGCGTATCCGAACCAGGGAGCCATCACTTCTGTTTAACCAAAGGACTTTTCGTGATGGTTGTGATCTTGCCTTGCAGGGAGTCTGTACGGGATGTCAGACGGGGGACTCGCCCACTCAAGTCCGACCCCGGAGCGGGACTGTCTACAGAATGACCACGTCCAGAAGGATGGAGGAGCAGCAGTGCGGGAGAAGGACAGCGGGGAGACGGAGGTGGACTTGGGTGTGGAGGGACGCCTGCCCTCCTGCTCCTCCAGAGAGGGCCCCTCCACCTCTGCCGAGGGGAGCGTGCCGAGCACCGCACGGAGAGGGCCGGCCCTGCTGCACATCGACAGACATCAGATCCAGGCGGTGGAGCCCAGCGCGCAGGCCCTGGAGCTGCAGGGCCTGGGGGTGGACGTCTACGACCAGCATGTGCTGGAGCAAGGCGTGCTGCAACAGGTGGACAGCGCCATCCACAAGGCCAGCCACGCGGCCCAGCTCGCCGATGCGGAGAAGGAGTACGGCTCCGTCCTGGATGACCTCGCGTGAGTGCTGCCCATCTGCTGGCTTCTGTTTGTGTTCAGGCACGATGGGGAGACTTACCGGGAAACTCTGAGAGCCCGGAAATCGAGACCAGTGCCTCCCACTTCCACATCCCAGCCCCATTCTGCCTTCCTGTCTCACAGCAGCCCTGGGCTCAGCAGTTGGGGTCCCAGGGCAGCTCACACAGCCTGTTGCATGTGGGTCCCCTGAAGAGAGGCTGTTCCCGGAGCCCGGAGCAGCCTCGGTCCAGCACGCCTGCAGCCAGGGGTTCTGCAGTCATCCCGGGAGCAAGCTCTCCGCCATGCATGCCTTCAGCCGTGCTGTTCCCAGACTGTGTTGAGTGCCTTGCTAGTTCAGCTGTTCAGCTCTATGTTTCTGGAAACATTGAGAAGGAGCTTCCTGTGCTTCCTTTCTGCCCCACTCTTGATTGTGTAAAGAGAGATGAATTCCTGTGGAGACCTCCTCTGTGTCTCCCAGGAGAGCCACCGTGCGCCCTGGCCATTGCCAGTCTGCCCTGGGGAGGAGAGGCGAAAGCAGGTGGCTGCCCAGCTGAGGTGGCTGTGGTGCCAGTGACTGTGGTGACTCAGGGGCGGCATGTTCTGTACACAGTTCCCTGGCGTGTTGTTCTTTCGTCCTCTGGAGGGGCAGATGTTCTTGCCGAGTGGTAGTTTGACCCAAGTGACGATGACTTCAGCTCCTGGTCCTAACACAGTTTTTACGTTAGGTCTTGGCCTTGTGCCTTCAGTGTACGGAGGTGGCAGAGAGCAGGCAGAGGGAGGCTAGTGGTGTGGCAGGTGGAGCCTTAGACGGCTGGTAACTTCCATTGCTTATCCTGAAATGCACGAAGGAGCCAAACAGCAAATCCACAGGTGTGCAGAGATTGGCAGCTGCAATTCCATGGTGTCTGCTTTCGGAGTCATTTAAAGTTGTGTTGTTGGTGGTGGGGGGGTGTGATACTGCAAAGTTTAATGTAAACAAATCTTTCAGTTGTGAGATAGACCACACTTGTCATGCATGGTTGAGTTTGATAAGAAAATGCGCAAGGATGTTCAGGACTTTTCGGAGCTTTGAGAGGCTGCCTTACTGGGGCTTTGAGATGAGAGGAAAGCTTAGCACAGGTTACCGGAGCACAGCGTCTCAGGTAAGAAGGTGCTGAAGGCTTGTGGAATGAGTGAATCAGCTCATGCCTGGGGTGAGCCGATCTAAATCAGAGAGGGAAAGAGCACCCCCGGGGGTGCCTTTGGAGCCTGCGTGTTCCCTTTGTGAGCTGGGCAGTGTTTCCAGTCTGTCTTTGATCATTTAGTTAATAAAGGGGAAAAGGATTGTGGTATTTAAATCACTTATCTCTTCGGGTTGTGTAGTAACAGTGTTGCCAGAGTGGAAAACAGACCATTTGTCTTGTTTTTTTTTTTTTTTTCAGGTCCTGCACAACATCCCTAAGGCAAATCAATAAAATTATCGAACAGCTTAGCCCTCAAGCTGCCACCAACAAAGACATCAGCAGGAAACTAGATTCTGTCAAGCGACAGAAGTATAATAAGGTGATTCAAAATAATGCACTGAATGTTGCATCTTTGAAAAAGTCATCAGGTAGGCCCAGTTCCTGTTTTAGAAAGAGTTCTGAAGATTACTTGTGAGATGAGAAGCAAGTATTTGTAATTATAGTGGAGAATATTTAAGTTGTACATTATGTCTGTTGTACATTTTGGCTTTCGGCTGGTGCTTTTTACCCCATGTCCTTCGGTATTCTTAGAATCCACTTGTGGGGCTAGTGTCGTGGCACAGTGCTTTAGTTGGCTGCTTGCCATGCCAGCATCCCGTATCGGAGTTCGATGCCCGTCTGCTCTGCTCCTTGTCCAGTTTCCTGCTCATGTGCCTGGGAAGGCAGCAGAAGACGGCGGGAGTACCTGGGTCCGTGCTGCCCAAATGGGGGACCCGGGTGGAGCTGGGCCACCTGGCTTGAGCCTGGACCAAGCTCTGGTCATTGTGGCCACTGAGGCATGAACCAGCAGATGAAAGATCTGCCTGACTGACTCTCTAGCACTCTGGCTTTCAAATAAATAAATCTTGAAAAGCCAGGCAGAGCTGTGTGTAGCTGTGTGTGCTCTCGCGCCTGGCTGACAGCTGTGAGTGTGCGGGCACCCACAGCTGCTTGGGCTGAGGTCCCGCGTGGCTTGGCTCACCTGCTCCCTGCTGTGTGCCTTGCCTCCCCCCTGGCACTGCTTGCCTTCCCTAGCTTTGGTTGCTGTGTAGCGTGCTGGCCTCCCACTTGGTCACCTCGGTGGGCCCTCCTCCTGGTTCTCTTCTGCTCTTGCCCTGGGTGTTAACGTTCAGTGCCAGCCACGCCTGGTTCCCCAGCTTGTGGTAGGAGAACTTTAGGGTGGGGAAGACCTTTTATTTAGGAACTTGGTTTTTTGAAATTGCGGACTTTTTTTTTTTAAGGAGTTTATACATAGCTGTGTGAGGTTTAGAAGGTATCTTGGGCTTTTTGCATGCTGTGGAAATGCATTGCGGGCAGGGAGGGCTGACTTTGCTGGTCTCAGCTCGGCCACCTGTACTGATGGCCACTTGTCCTCATGCTGACAGGGAGTGGGTTGTTGTGCGCAGAAGGGAGCACTTGCGCCTGGGAGGTGAGCTCAGCTTGGGACATGTGCGTGGGTGGTCCCGGTGGTCCTCCCCTCACACTCCACCCGCTGTGCTGTTCCCTCCCCACCCTGTCTCCTCCTCCTGCCTCTGGAAGAGCAGCCCAAGGCTCACGGTCCCTTGAGGTAGTCGGGGTCTCCTCAGTGCCCTGCAGTGAACTTTCTTTGTTTTTGTGTAGGAGAGAGAATCTTCCATCTGTTGGTTCACTCTAAACCCTGTAGTGGTCGGGCTCAGAAGCTGAAGCCAGAAGCCAGGAACTCCATTTGGGTCATCCGTGTGGCTCACGTCTGCCACAGGCCTTCCCAGGCACATGAGCTGGAAGTAGAATGGAAGTGGAGCAGCCAGGGCTTGAACCTGGGCTCCTTCTGTGCTCAGTAGTGCTGCCTCTGGCATCTCCACGTCCCCCACCCATCTCCATCTTTGGTGTTGGACTGTTCTTGATCTTGAAAAGACAGACCAGGCCTGGCGACGGTCACAGATCCCGTTCTGTTGGGTCCAGGAAAAGAGCAGAGAGCAGTGTGGGGTGGACGATGTTGAGGACGCAGAATCTGGTTTTCTTTTAAAGCGTTATTTTTTTTAAAGATTTGTTTATTATTGTTTGAAAGATTTAAAGAAAGAGGAGAGACAGAGAGAAAGATCTTCTATCAGCTGATTCACTCCTTCCTCAGGTGGCCGCAACGGCCAGAGCCTAGCTCATGAAAAGCTGAGAGTCGGGAACTTCATTCAGTTCTCACATGTGGGTGCTGGAGCCCAAGGGCTTGGACCATCCTCCACTGCTTGCCTCGGTGTGTCAACAGGGAGCTGGATCAGAAGTGGAGCAGGGGCCCAGTGCAAGGATTGACTAATCTTCTACCTCCAAACGCCGATCCCATATGTGCACCAGTTTGTGTCCTAGCTGCTCCACTTCCCAGCCGGCTCCCTGCTTGTGGCCTGGGAAGGCAGTGGAGGATGGCCCAGAGCCCTGGGACCCTGCACCTACATGGGAGACCCAGAGGAAGCTCTTGGCTGTAGCTTTGGATGGACTCAGCTCTGGCCGTTGTGGCCATTTGGGGAGTGAACCAGAAGACAGAAGGTCTTCCTGTCTTTCCTCTCTGTAAATCTGCCTTTCCAATTAAAATAAATAAATAAATGTTAAAAAGAAGAAGTGGAGCAGCTGGGATTAGAAGTGTCACCCATATGGGATGCTGATGCTGCAAGGCAGAGGATTAGCCTGTTGAACCATCGTATCGATCCTTTTTTAAAGTTTTGTACTTTGGCAAAATGCCATAAAGGACTGCGCGCGCATGACAGGTTGTCACCGGGCTGACTTTCCCGCTGCTCAGCATGAGCCTTTGTATCGTCTGTCGCAGCCCGCTGACCTGGTACACTGGCCGCTGAAGCTGAGTGGTGCACGCAATGTGTCCGTGTCGAGTACCTGTTCTTCAGGACTTGGGGCCCGGGATGGCTTCTGTGGGGGTGGGGTAGGGAACTGCCTGGGGCCTGGCTTGCTGCAGGCGCTCAGGCAGGCTCTCCCTGTGGCAGCGATGTGGGGGTGCCTGTGTGACATGTCTTTGGCCTTTGATTGGTGTTTCTGGATCGTGTGTCGCTGTCTTCGGGTGCTTAACGAGGCACTGCCTCACACTGTTCTGTGTTTGGCTTTACTGCTTCAGGAGCAACAACTGAAGAAGATCACGGCCAAACAAAAGCGCCTGCAGGCCATCCTAGGAGGCGCCGAGGTCAGAGTTGAGCTGGATCACACCAGGCTGGAGGAGGAGGAAGATGCAGGTGAGGCAGAGTGGGGGGTCAGCCCTGGGCCTGGGTTTGCTTTGCCTTCATGTGAGGACAGGGTTCAGGGAGCTGTGCTCGGTGTCTGCAGCTGCAGACTAGGGATGTGGTTGCAGAGTGCAGGCTGGAGCCCCGTGTGCAGGAGGCTGCAGGGGCACACTTACCATTCCAGCTGCTCGAGGGGGCGGCGGGGGGATGAGACACGCTCCTAGGCAGCTGATGTGGTAGAGGCCGCCAGCACCTTGATTGTGTCCCATCTTGGAAGCCCAGCCTTGCCCCTCGACGTTCATGGACTTGGCCCTGGCTTGCTTTTAAGGAGTGTGTTGGGCAGGCTTTCCAAGCCTCTGTCCATTGTTTTAGACGTTATGTCTTCACTTAAGTTATACCAGGGCAGTGTCTTCACTGATATTCCTGTCTGAAATGGTTATCCTTTGGAGAACCTTTCTGGGGAACTGTGTGAGCTCTGGAACTCTCTGTGGTATGTGGGTGTGTGTGGGTGTGTATGTGGGTGTGCATGTGGGCGTGTATGTGGGTATGTGTGGGTGTGCATGTGGGTGTGTATGTGGGTGTGTGTGGAGAGAGCGAAATTACTGCTGATCACTTACTACTTCTAATAAATATTGAGACTTCTTAGCGTTTTAGCCCTTCAAGAAAATGCTTGCCTCTAGCTCCAGAAACTTATTCAATGAGACAAAAAGATTATTATGAAAAATTAATTGAAGTAATAGAAGACTATTAGAAAGATGTGCCTTTTTAGTCCAGTCTCAGGGAAGGCATCGCGGTGAACTGGTTAGGCCATCGCACAGGGTGCAGGCTGCTCTGCTTCTCGGTCCAGCTGCCTGCTGATGGGCCTGGAAGCAAGCAGGTGATGGCGCAAGCATGTAGTTCCCTGCTCCTCACAGGGGAAAGCCGGATGGAGTACTTGGCTCCTGACTTGGCGTGGCACAGCCCTGGCTGTTGGGGGCATCTGGGGAGTGAACCAGAGGCTGAAGTCTCTCTTGTTCAGTCCTCGCACCGGTTACGTTTGCCACGTTTTCTCCCTTATCGTAAGTGCTGAGAGTTTTCAGGATATCTTGCCGAGTCATAGTCTTGTTTCCCTTCTCCCTACATGTCATCCACTCCCTGCAGATCAGGCGGCTGTGACACTGCAGAACTCTGCCTTGCCCTTTTGTTCAACTCTGGCTCCTGCTCCGCGTTATCTAGGCACCAGTTGCCCCAGAGGCACTGGGTCTCCTACTGCTTGTCCTTCCTGCCCCTGCTGGGAAGGCGGCACAGCAGGATGCCTGTGGGGACCCAGGGCCATGTTGCCAGCTCTGGACCTGGGCTTGAACCCGTGCACCAGGCGTCTGTGTGTGTGTGTGTGTGTGTGTGTTGGCCCTCCACGTCTGCCCCCGTGCTTCCCTCCCACACCCTGGCCTTGCCGTGACGATCCAGTCTGTAACGCAGGCGTGAGGATCAGTGGGCAGTTTCTTCCTGGGAGGAGGCGGGTGGTGACCGGTTTCAGACAGGGTGGGACTTCCGTGTTGACCGTGATCTGGGAGGAAACTGGCATGCCCCTTCTTCTCTTGCTCGTTCGCTGTTGTACTGGGCAGAAAGTGAAAGCACAGGACAAAAAAGAAGAAAGAAAATCCTCATTATCCATAGAACACGTGATTGTTTATGTACAGAATCCCGAAGACTCAGTGAACCGTCTGTTGGAATTGCATGTGTACTTAGCAAGGTCATTGAGTGTGACGTATGTCGAACATCTGCCATGTTTCCTTATGCCAAGAACAACAAAAATTAATAAAGATGCAAGCTACGATAAAACCAAACACCTGGAGCTCCACCCTGAGGAAGCACGGAGTTTTCAGCAGCATTTTCTACATGCTCAGAATGACCTGGAGATAAACATCTGTGTCGTCTCAGGCAAGGGCCGCGGGTTGGAGCTGCACTGCTGTGAAGACTTGTCCAGTTGTAGTGTCCGTGCAACCCTAGGACAGATTTCGGGGTTGGTATCGGGAGGCGCTGGGCCAAGAGTAGCCAAGGCAGTCACAAAGGAGAACTCGAGCTGGAGACCTGTTGTAAATCTGTCACAATTAGATGGTGTGCTATTGGCATGGGGACGGGTAAGTAGGTGGATGGTCCTTACAGAGGGTCTGGCCAACAGAGGCACCTGCATGTGGTCCCCTGAATGATGATGGAAGAGGCAGGCCACGCGTGGGGAAGCACGTGTTCTGAGGAAGTGGTAAGTCTTGACCCGGCTCCTTTATGCGGAAATGCACTCCCAGGGAGCTGAGTGCGCATGGCAGGGCGGACACTGTGCAGGGAAGGGTGTGCCGAGTACACTGTGTTTACATGGAGGCCTTGTGTTTGCCCAGGCAGTGAAGGGGCAGGCAGCAGAGCGGGGCGCGTTTGCAGCACTGCCCACCTGGGTGTCTGAGGGGAGCTGCTCTGACTCACATCCCAAGTCAGCAGCGAAGCAGGGTGTTCACACAGAAGCTGTGTGCGTCCTCCCAGCCTTCCCATGGTCTCCACACAGTACCCGATACAGTGTAACCGTGACGTAAGTGGTGGCAGTGCCTGTTCACCTGTTGCAGACAGGAGCAGTTTGTCCCATAGTTCCTAGGGTCTGCAGCTGGCAGAACCTTCTCATGTGTGGGGCCCAGGAGTACTGAGGGGCTGACTGCACTTGTGTGAAGCAAGAAGGGCTTGGGTCTGGAACATTAAGACCTCCTGGAAGTCATTTTTGCTTTTCTTTTCTGTTTTATTTTTTGAAGCAGGCAGACTAAGAAAGAGGGGTAAAAGGCTTGAACATTTTCTACACCAAAGAGGCTGTCCAGGTCAGTAAACCTGGTGAAAGGCCTCATCAGCCATGCCGTGTTGCTGCAGCGGAAAGCACGCCAGCCTGTGATGACACGGCGGAAGTTGCTGTGGGCTCACCACGGTGCTGCAGGTGGCTGCGAATGCCCCGGCGAGGCCACCACACCCCGGGGCTCCTGTGACACGCTCCGCGCTGCTGCTTGACAGAGTGGGAGTGCCAAGGGGCCAGGCTTGCCCTGCTGGTGGCTGGCCCTTCTGGCTGCTTGCCTGTGTAGTCACCAGCCTGCTCCTGCTGGCAAGAGGCCATTTCCAGGAGGGATGGCTTGGACCTGTTCCCCAGGGTGGGTCCCATGTGACCCGCATTCAGCAGTGCTGTCAGTCAGTGGGCAGTGCAAGTGGTAGCACAGCTCAAAGGGGGTGGGGGATGGGGAAGCCTCCTGAACCCTGTGGGTGGAACTTGAGCTCAGGGAGTTGATGGGTGGTGTATGCTAAAGCGTAGCACACTGCAGAATCGCCCACACGTTTGCAAAGGCCAGGGAGGTTAACAGCAGCATCGGTGCCCGTGTCCAGAGCCCAGACACCCCATGGATGCTCATTAACAGTGTTCCTTGATGGGAGAGCTGCATGGTACTTTGCCATCACGTGCTTAACTGACACACTGCCGTGACGTTCTGCAATAAGCGGGACTCCCCAGGTGCAGTGCTGAGCAGTGGCACATGGAGCTGGAAGCGTGGCTGTTTCCATTCCCTCCTACAGAGCACTAGGACTTGGCCAGGTGGAGCCTGGGCCAGGCAGCCAGTGACCGGATGCCGGCAGACATGCCCCTTTGCACCGCAGTGGACCTGAGCTCTATACTTGGCCTCTACAAGGACTTTTATTATGGCACAAGTTTGTGCGGGCCAGGACTGGTCTCACTGGCCTGCAAGGCATGTGGACATAGGCTTGAGAACTGGGGATTCCTTCCTGTGCAGCCTGAGGTCTTCGGTGTTCTGGGTTGGTGGTGCCTGGGTTCTGCTGCTGTGTTTGCTTGTCGTGGCCTGTCCCACAGCTGTCATCCACCACAGTGCTGTCCAGCAGACAGGCCGATGGTGAGAGAGGCCCCTGTCTGCCCAGCAAAGGCTGTGGTGGAACTGCGGTCTTAGTTGGATTTCAGTAGCCACGAGTGACTGGTGACTTCTGTTTTGGACAGGGCACAGCTAACAGCTTTTTACATTTATTTTATTTGAGAAAGAGCTTCTGTATGCTGGTTCACTCCCCACATTGCATGCAGTGGCCTGGGCTTGCCAGGGTGTCAGTCCAGGTGTGCCTCTCCTGCGTGTGTCAGGGTCCCAGCTGCTTGAGCCGTATCTGCTATCTCCCAGCATTGTGCCTTAGCCAGACACCAGAGTGCGGTGTCCATCTCGGGCATGCCAGGGTGGGACAAGGCTGTCCTGAGCAGCGCCCTCTCCTCTGGGTCGGGCACACATGTGCTCTTTCTGTAGGCACCTGTCGGTCCCTGGGTCTGTTTGTCGGGGGGTGTATCTCTGGGATCTTAGCCCACCAGAATCCTGGTTCCAGCACTCAGGCGGCACGGAAACCCAGCCAGCCTCATTGATAACTAATGCTCGTGGGCCCGAGTCTGTCTGTGGAGGCCTAGGTTTGTTTAGGTGTGCTGCTTCCCGGGAGAGTCACCAGCAAGTCAGCCATGTGAACGGGAGTGTGTGAAACTTGACCCGATCAATGCAGGAATGAACTGTGTTCCGCATGTGTAAGACAGCTTAGTGTACAGACCACACATGACTTGCTTTGAGGCCACTGCAGGTGGCTGCTGTGTGCGTGGGCTGCGTGAAGCCACCTGTGGGGCTGAGTGCTGGTTCTTTTCTCTCTCAGAGCCAGGGCCGTCCAGCCTGGGCAGCATGCTCATGCCTGCGCAGGAGAGCGCCTGGGAGGAGCTCATCCGCACCGGCCAGATGACGCCGTTTGGCACCCAGATCCAGCCGAAGCCGGAGAAGCAGCCCCGGAAGCTCATGCTCGACGAGGCATCAGGCTTTGAGAAGTACCTGGCTGAGCAAGCCAAGCTGTCCTTTGAGAGGAGGAAGCGAGCACGGGGCAAACGGGCAGCCCGGCAGGCCCCGACCCCCGTGACTGCGGCCACGGGCCCGGCGGCCAGCGAAGGGAAGCCCAAGCCGGGGAGCCAGACGCTGTCCAAGGCCGACAGGCGCCTGCAGAAGCACATGAGAAAGCTGCAGAAGCGGGCCGCGCAGTTCCAGGGCAAGGTGGTGCCGCGCCCGCGGAGGAAGCCGCTGGAGCCCGAGGGGCAGCCCCGAACAGCCGGCCACTCAGAAGGAGAGGAGTCCGAGTACTTCCCCACCGAGGAGGAGGAGGAGGACGAGGAGGACGAGGAGGCGGCAGGGGTGGACCTGTCTGGAGATGGCACTGACTATGAGCTGAAGCCCCCGCCCCAGGGCCGGAGGCGGCAGAAGAAAGCCGCAGCCCAGCAGGTGGACGAGGACTTCTTCCCCAGCTCCGAGGAGGATGTGGATGCCCCAGCAGCCGGCCCAGGGAGAGGACGCAAGGTGGCGAGGTGCCGTGACGACGGCGACGAAAATTACTACCGGCAGCGGTTAAGGTGAGCCCCGGGGGCTGGGGAACAAGTGGACTTGGTGCTGCCTCTGACTCAGGCGGTGGTTTCAGGAACACAGAGTGGTGTAGCAGCCGGGAGCCCCTGCTGTGTACCCGCAAGCACTGGTGTTTCTAGGGGGGATGGCCAGGAGGCACATATCTGGCTGCCGAGTCTTTTGGCCCCAAGGCAGCTGCAGGTGGAACTCAGAAACTTCCAGGTCTGTAGCAGGGTAGTCTGGCAGTTGATTTTAAAGAATGATATTCTAAATGTGCAGGTGGCCCTTGGCAAAAGAAAGGTTCCCCCTCCCTGTCTGGGTCTTTGTCTTCAGACAGGGATGCAAGTCATAGGTGACAGCAGGGCTGGGGCTAGAGCCGGGCCGAGGGTGAGCTTGAGCTGGCTGTGGTGGCTACACTGGGAGCAGGATAATTACAGAGGACTTTCCTGCAAAAGAAAGTGGTAACAGCTCACTTTGGCTGCTGAAGGAGCGGGCTGGCTTTCCACGTCCTGACCCTGAGAAGACACGAACGTACATAGCCGAGCCTCACACTGTGCCCGGGCACAACTGCCATGCCTGGCGCACTTCCCTCTGCCTCATTGTCTTCCACGCTGCAGATGGCCTTGGCCTTTGTCCCCTGGGCTTTCTCGGTAGGTGCTGCATGGCGGGCGGGAGGAGGCAGGCATGCTAAGGTTGGTGCTGTTTGTCCGTACATAGCCCCGCCGGCCTGTCCTCACCATCCCGGCAGCTCTGGGCACCCTCGTGTGTCCTCACACGGCCGCCCAGTTGGAGGGAAAGGCCGTCTGTGGCTTGCATATCCGGAGTGCGTGGCTCTTGCCTGGCCCTCAGCAGTTTGGCCTTTCGTCCAAGTGTGGGGAGCCCTGGTGGGCTGTGTGAGTGAAGGCCGCCCCGATGCTGTTTCTTTGGTTAGGTAGAACTGCCCTTCACTGTGTCCAGACTGCCGCACGCACCCCGAGTCCTCTTTATAGTAGATGGCGGTGGCGTTCTTCCAGAATATGCTCTGGAGGGTGAGCGGTCATCCTGGAGGCTCTGGTGCCGGCGTGGGGCTGGCATTTCTTGGGAGCTGCAGGGAGTCCCACTGCTCTGCTTCTGAGCCAGCTCTGCTGATGTGCCTGGGAAAGTGGTGGAGGGTGTGGCCTGTGCTGGGCCCCTGCACCCACGTGGGAGATCCAGATATAGGGTCCCAGGCTGCTGGCTGCGAATTCACCCCACCCTGGGGAGTGGGCCAGTGGATGCAAGATCTCTGTCTCTCCCCCCGCCCATTTGTAACTCTGCCTTATATAGCGTATATGTAATATATAATATATGTACGTACACAGAGAAAGGGGAAAAAAAAACTGTGTCCCTCCCTACTTGAGAGTACCTGGAGTTGGAGTTCCAGCTCCGGCTCCTGACTCCAGCTTCCTGCTGTGGCAGACCCTGGCAGGCAGTGGGAGTGACTCCTGGCACTGTGTGGGAGCACTGGGTGGGCCCTGCATGGCGGGCGTATGGTGTGCAGGAGCCTTGGGTGGGCCCTGCGCTGTGGGCATGTGGCATGTGGGAACCCTGAGGGAGGGGCCTGCACTGCGGGCCTGTGGCGTGTGTGAGCCCGGGGGGGGCCCTGCACTGCGGGCCTGTGGCGTGTGTGAGCCCGGGGGGGGCCCTGCACTGCGGGCCTGTGGCGTGTGTGAGCCCTGGGGGGGGCCTGCACTGCGGGCCTGTGGCGTGTGTGAGCCCTGGGGGGGGCCCTGCACTGCGGGCCTGTGGCGTGTGTGAGCCCAGGGGGAGCCCTGCATTGCGGGCCTGTGGCGTGTGTGAGCCTTGGGGGGGTCCTGCACTGCGGGCCTGTGGCGTGTGTGAGCCCTGGGGGGGCCCTGCACTGCGGGCCTGTGGCGTGTGTGAGCCCTGGGGGGCCCTGCACTGCGGGCCTGTGGCGTGTGTGAGCCCGGGGGGGGCCCTGCACTGCGGCCGTCTGGGCTGGGAGATGAGAGTGTGCTCCTCTGGACTTCTCAGATCAGCAGATTAATAAATAGGTTTCCGTGGAGCTGGGACATCCTTCCGGGTCTTTAGAGCTGTTGGCGCTCATTGTTATGCGTTGTGCAGTCCTGCACAGCTGTGGCTTCTCTGGGTAGTTTCTCATTGTAGCTCTAGGTTACATGAGAAACGTTGCTCGATCTATATTTTAAAAATTTATTTATTTTGGCCCTGGCGCAGTGGCCTAGTGGCTAAAGTCCTTGCCTTCCACACACTGGGATCCCATATGGGCGCTGGTTCTAATCTTGGTAGCCCCACTTCCCATCCAGCTCCCTGCTTGTGGCCTGGGAAAGCAGATGGGGACGGCCCAGAGCCTTGAGACCCTGCACCTGCATGGGAGACTCAGAAGAAGCTCTTGGCTCCTGGCTTCGGATCCGTGCAGCACCGGCCATTGTGAATCATGGGGGGTGGATCATTGGTTTGAAGCCAGGAACTTCTGGGTCTTCCATGTGGATGCAGGGTCTCAAGCACTTGGGCTGTCTTCTGCTGCTTGTCCAGCCATTAGCAGGGAGCTGGCTTGGCGTGGAGCAGCCAGGACTAGACCTGGTGCCTGTGTGGGATGCTGGCTTTGCAGGTGGAGGATCAGCCTTTCATCAAGGCAGGGAGCAGGCTGTGTCTTCAACACCATGCAGAATTAACAAAAGTACTAACTCAGCAATCTATATTCTTCCCATTAACTTGGGTCGATATTAAATATGTTTTAAGCATATCATTGTTTTGATCAAGAACAGTTTATTTTGATTGAATTTTAAATACGGGTTGAGTTTAATTTCGTGGCAGTAACTTAATAATGTTACGATTGTAAGCAATTTATTATCTCCAAAGCCATATCGTAAGCCAGTGTTTTGCAAAAGTTACAGTAAAACCTCAGATGAATTTCTGAAATGCCAATAACTCTAATTGCCACCAAAATACGATAGCTCTTAAAATTTTATAGCTCCGGTTATTAAGGCTATTAAGCCGCAGACACCCGCATTGATATGTTTGCGTTGCGTCTCCGTAGATGCTCTGTAGATTGGGGGATGTGTGGTGGTCTCCCCCCTAGGCAGCATGAGACCTGCTTTTTTATTTGAATGGCAGTTGGAGAGAACTGAGCTCACCTGCTGGGTCACTGTGTCCGTGATCTCCCCGTCCAGGGCTGGCCCGGGCTGCAGCCGGGAGCCAGGAGCTCCAGCCCAGTCTCCAGGCACGTGGGCCATCTTGTGCTGTCTTCCCAGGCCCAGGGGCAGCAGGAGGCTGGCTCGGAATTGGAGCAGCCGGGTCCGAGGTGGTGATGCTGCAGATAGTGGCCCATCCCACCAGTCCACGGCACCGGCCAGTAGACCAGGAGGACTGCTGGTCACCCAGGTATCAGTTAGGGCTGTGTCATGCGTGAAACAGAAAGCAGACTCTGGGAGCAGCTCTTGGGCTGTGTGCCCAGGCTAGGCTGACTCAGAACTTCACACACTGACCCCCCTGCTGTTGTCACTCGTCTCCACCCTTGAAGTACAAGGGCAGCTCCTGGTGTGCACTCCAGGCTCCCGCTGCCGGGCGCCTTCTCGAGCCGGGACGCCGCTGTAGGCTCACGTGGGTGTGTGCCAGGGCCTGTGGCACACTGGGCATCTGGTGGGCACGGGCAGGATGTAACCAGGCCTGCGGGGCTCTCACCAGGCAGGGCTGGTGCTGCAGGTGGGGACTCTGCCCAATGGTCCCTCGTTGTTGGCAAGGCCACGGGGCATGCCTGGACATCGGCACAATGGTTGGGTCAGCAGAGAGGCAAGCAGGTGGGATGCCCGCTGACCGTCAGCAGAAGAGGGCTCTCGCTGCCCCCGTCCCCCGCTGATGGTCGCACACTGCCTGGGTCAGGCTGCGGGTGTGGACTGGGTCCATGAGGGGCTGCCCTCCCTCTCACTGCCAGCCTGCTGTCTCCCAGCCCAGCCTTCGTCAGCGTGGCCGATCCCAGCCCTGCCTGCCCTGGCTCAGGGGCACAGTCGCAGGCTCGGGCAGGCCCCAGCAGCTCGTCTGCCCGGCTGCCAGCCTGGAACTGACTGAGCTGGCGGTGCCCACCATGTCCTGGGTTGCATTGTGAAGGCAGATACGAGAACCAAGGTGGGAAAAACTGGTTTTTAAAAACTTTAATTAGTTAACTTTCGTTAGTAGAGTGCTCCCATCTGCCGGTTCACTGCCCACACGTCCTCAGTGGCTGGGGCTGGGCCATGCTCAAGCTGGGAACTTGACCCAGGTTTTCTGTGTGGGTGGAAGGGACCCGAGTACCTGGGCTGTCCTCACTGCCTTCCCGAGTCAGGGTTAGTAGGAGGCTGTAGGTGGGAGCAGAGCTGGCTGGGGGGGGGAAACAGAGCCCTAACCACTAGGTTAAACAGCCCCTCTGCTTCCTGTTCTGCTTTCCCCCTTGTCATTCCAGGCTTTGACTCTGCGTTGCATGTCTTGACGGTGCTGTAATTCTGGCAGGCTGCCCTCTGAGTTGAGCCTTTGAGATTGCCGCCCACCGTGGCCCTGAAGCCCCTGAGTCTGAGGACCTGCCTTCCCTCCTGGTGGGGCCGGCTGGGGGCTGTGGAGGGTGCAGTAGCAGGTGTGACCACAAGGTGGTGCCAAGAGCCAGCACCTGCTGTCTGCACCCGGAGCGCCCTGACGGCCTGCGCCAGTGCAGGAGGCCTGAGCAGAATAGGCAGGATGGGGTAGGAAGTGTGATCTGAACCTGCAGAATCTTTAGATGTAATGCTTCTGTTTAAGATTGATTGATTAATTTGAAAGAGTTAGAGAGGGAGAGACAGGAGAGAGAGGTCTTCCCTCCATCCTTTGGTTCATCTTCCAAAAGGCTGCACCTGCCGGGACTGGGCCAGGATGAAACAAGGAAATAGGAACTTCTTCCGGGTCTCCCAAGCACGTGGACCGTCTTCTGCTCTCCCAGGTCATTAGGGTGCTGGCTAGGAAGTGGGGCAGGTGGGGCACCAGCCAGTGGCCACATGGAACACCTCAG